CGATATCGACCCTACAGCGCTGTGGTTATTTAAAAACAGCGTGAACCTTTCTATTTATGCACCCGACTGACATTACTTTTTTTTGTTTAGATGGAGGAGTGGATCTCCTAAAGGCCGACCTTTAGGAGGTCTTTCCAGATCCACCAGGCTTGAGGTGGCCGAGCACTGAGGGCGCTAAGCTTGTACCTCGATTATGGGTGACTAAACACGCGGATTCCCAAAGGAGCTCGACTCGGGCCGTCACTCTATTAGTTTAACTAACATTACTGTAAACTGTGAGGTATCTGTACATATTTATGTCATGCAACACTCCGCAATTAAACGCCGTGCTTTGACGACCCTGTTTCATTCCTTCAATCATGATAAAACATGTAGGTACGACATTAAACATCCCTTAAATTAAACTGTGTACCAAAAATATTGTTAAATATCTCCTATACGGTTACCAAACAGAAATGAAGTATCGTTGATCCAAACATGTTTCAATTAACACTTTCGTACTTGTAAAAAATGATGGAAAATGGAACATACCGAAAAAAGGTGTGTGTAACGGTTTTATTTTTCTTTTGTTCTTATGTAGGCACATAAGAACAAAAGAAAAAAAAACCGTTTAAAAACTTTAAAGTTAAACGGTTTTATTTTATGTACACTGAAAACTACAATATTGTATTGTCATCTAAATTAAATGTGTGTACCAAATTTCAGATCAATCTGACAACGGGAAGGTGCTTAAATTTTAATTTCTAATTTTGACCCAAATAAATAAACAAATAAATTCCGTACGGGTCGAGCTAAATAAAACCGTTTAATAACCAAAATTTTATCCCCGTGCCAGTATTTTTGTTTGGGAAGAAGAAATTGTAATTGTTTACGGTTTAATTAATTAACTCGGAATTATATAGCCAAATTTCAAAACTTAGTACCGTGAAGTTGGTCGCTTTGGAACCAACTTATCGTGTCGTTTTTGGCCGTAGTCGTGCGCGCGCATCGTAAAAATTTTACTCTGATAATTTTTCCAAACGCCCCATAAGAATAACTTTAATAACGGCAAAATCGTCGCTTAATATTTATTCGAAATAAAATAAAATTAAATCGCTATAGCTTAGATGTTTGTCCTGCAAAAATTACCTTCAAACGGATGTTTGCTCTGCCACTCGAAGAACCGTTTAACTTTCTTTTACAACATGTCGATGAGCAAATCAAAACATTACACACTGCGATGTACGGTACTTGAAGTTTACGTAATGATATATTATTATTCGAGAGATAATAAAAGAATTCGTTTAGTCACGTGTTTCCAAAAAGAGAAACCAACGTATTCTGTAAGCTGATATAATCGAACGTGATAGTATTCGGCCTTTAGCGAGCGGCTTAAGAAATAAGCGCGCGCGGGTAGCGGTGCGGATAATAATATAATGTCAGTTTATTAACTGATAAAAAAGTGATAGAAGTTAAATTCAAGAGTCGATTAACTCTGAAATTATAAAGGTTGCTATAAATATAAAACAAAAAACACGGGAGTATATTTGAGGATGCTTAATAACGGTAGCCTACAATTAATTGGTAACAGCTTCTTAGGTAAGCTTATCACTTTGGGTGTGATGATTTAACCAATTAATGATTTGTTAAGTATACATGCACACTACACATTTTAAATAATTTCAACGGGAATATATAAATTATTAGTAATTGACGGTTGCCGGGGCTAACATTGACATTTTGAACGAAATATGCTTACTATCCTTACTTTCTTACTAATATTATAAAGGCGAAAGTTTGTGTGTATGGATGGATGTTTGTTACTCTTTCACGTAAATACTACTGAATAGATCTTAATGAAACTTTACAATAATATAGCTTATACATCAGAATAAAACATAGGCTATAATTTTTATACATATTCTATGTATCTTTCTGTCTGAATGTTACGCCTTCAGCCTATTCTACGCAAACGTAGTCGCAGGCAGCAGTTAGTGTTAAATAAATCCCAAGCGAGGCAATGCCTCCTTGTGTACTGACTTAAGTTCTCTGTCACATTAAACATAACGTGTTTATTAATTTACTTGCCATTGTTGCTTTGTAATGTTCAGAGTATAAATACATAATATGTAGGTATAAAGTATGTTTTGATAAGTAAGGGTGTTAGTTTTTTGTTTGTGTTGAATTAATATCAACATATAGATAAATAGAGGTTAGTGGCGACATCTTATGTAACCTTATGAGCCTTGTAGTACGTAATCTGTGTATTGTCTATTAAAAAATTGTCTGTTGCCGTCATGGAACCTGTAAATGGTTCGAAACGTCGGGAGGTAAAATAAAAATAGAACACATAAAAATCCATAAAATTAGTGTAAGTTTTTGAAAAATGTAACCAGTTATTGGAACCATCAGCACCAGCTAGTGATGCACCAAGGGGCAGGCTTCATGTGTATATAAAAATATTTATTTACTCATTTGTTGAGTAAATAAATATTCAACTGTCATTTATATATAAATTGCAAAACAAAATTAGGGTAATATTTTACTAGTGTCATCACTTTTATAGATAGTGTCATTTAAAGAATAAATATTAACAAATGATTGAAAACATTCCTTAAGCTTATCACTTGGGACAAAGTTTAACAATTACATAAACATCACCTCTCTCATAACCTTTAGGCCGAAGTTCCAGTAAGTTATATCTTCTTAAATAACCGTGACCGGCGCTATTTTCTTCGGAATATGGTTGAAATTGCCGCGACAAAAGCCAACGCGTTCTGCTGGTTATTTTGACAAATGATGGAAGCGTTCATCACAATGACAGGTCGCTTGCAAAGCGAAAATAAAGTTTGACGCGTCACATTGTAGTTATTGTATATTATTAAACGAGTATTGTATGCTCTATAAGATATAATCAAAGGGAATTACTAGCAGATAATAAAATTTACAATTCAATGTACCAAACCAATCAATGTAGTCCCCCTGAATAGTTTTCTGTGTGAGTAGTTTTAAATAATTGAGCATTTTCGAGTGTCAATTTTTTTTTTGTATTAAAAATTTCAGTATTATCTATTTTTTAATTTATGTAGCTTTTGTTTAATACAAAGTCTAGCTTCTTTAGTATTAAACCTTTTAGGGTGGGCAGAGGCAGTTTATTTCACCCAGAAGAGTCATGGACTCGGATCATGTGACGATTAATTTCTACTATAATCTACAAATTATAGAAACAATTAAGAAGGTTGAGTTTAGGCTACTGGTATATGGCTCTTAATAGTCAAGCCTAAGGTATCTGGGCAAAGGCTTACATAACATACACACAGTAATGCATTTAAAAGCATTAGATTTAACATTAGATGTAACTTGAAAAATTCGGCAAACACCAGTAAGAAATCACCTTCGTACGACCAATGAATAGGAAAGTATTTAAAAATATCGAAACCATCAAAACGTAGGAATTGCTTCTTGTATTGTTCAAAATAATAGGTGCTTAAAAATATTTACAATTATCTAATTGATTATATAGGACATATTATCTTTCTACAACTGATCAATTCGACGTCAGTCGAGTACAATAAAAGCGGGAGGAGGCATTCTTCCTGACGCATTAAGACTAATTTTAGCATTTCACAAGGTAACTCAGTACGTTCTGTGACCACGGATGTTGTAAAGTAATCAAAATACCACGGGTGTTGTAAAAAAGCTTTGTTAAATAACGGAATAAATTTAACGCGACAAGATCCGTAAAATAGTTTTATTTCACTAAGTGCAGTGTTCGCGTAAGTACAAGAAAGCACTTTAACTTATGTGATTTTAAACAAAATTGAATTCATTTAAGAACATTCTGTCCCGACTGTAAAATAGATAAACAGAAAACGACTTTTAGTAATGTTATCTAAGAGTTTGCCGATTGTCACAAAACGTATGTGTTTGTTTAAGAGTTATGAAATATATCAGAGAAAGCACATAATGGGGTATCTATTTTACCCTCTAAATATTGAAATGACGAATTATATACGGTATGATTATACATTTCTACTACAAATCCGAAGTTTTCACTTTGCTGATCAGTCCGTTGGTCAGTTAACTTCTGCTTCTAACTTTACACTCTAGCTTTTGTCTGCGCATTCATTGGAGCACATTTCGGAAACCAATTTAGATCGAGCTGATGATACCTTCGATTCTACGACCTTGCGAGGAATGTTATGCTCCATCGGCTAGGAATTAGTAATAATATCTCAGGGCATTGGTTGTTCAAAATACATGGTTAGTCGAAACAATACATTGCTTTACGAAACATACCTGTTCCATGTTCTGTTTCCATGACAGTAAATACATATTAAGTAGTATATAGATATCTCCAAGATCCTTTAATTATAATTGATTACATTTCATTACTAATGAAACTAGGAACATATTGAAGAGACCAAAATTCGTATTAATCATTTGATATCGAGCGCCGATGAGTGCAATCAGAGCTTAGAATAGATTTTGGTTGAAATGATTCCTGACGCCATTTTTCATTGTAAAATTTCAAATTTGACACTGTATCATACTATCTTGATTATCAAGTCAGTTTGCATCTCTTTATATCCCAGGGGTTAAGCCCTGTACATCAAGATGGCGTTCACATTGACAAATGGGTCAACCAAATGTCGATCCGCACAATCAATCAACAACGCATGGCCGCGCCAACTAACGCCATCTCGTGGCGCCATCTCTAATTAAAGATACCGCATTTACAGTTAGCGCTTGGTTTGGTAATTGTAATGCATTCTATACAGTAACACATAAAGGTTACTCTTGTTTGATTCATGTTAACTTAAGTGATTAAGTGCACTGTAAAAACTAACGTTTGCTCTGCATTATGTTTCAGTTATAGGTGGGGGCGAGTGTTTTACGGATTCCAACAGGTTCAAAGATTTTCCTTGAATGTAACATTAGTGTTGATAGTGAGCAGCCGGAAAAATCTTATGTTTGAGTAGTTCAAATTTATCGAGTAAATTAAAAGGCATATCTTCTGAATGTCATTCGGCATCACAAAGTTTGTTATCGGTGTTGGAGCTTATGACAACAGACCAGGATTAGGTGGGTTGATATAAAAAATTGAGGGCATGTAAAATCTTGCAATTACACGTTAGGAGGACGTATAGTGGGCTCACACCAACGTCTTATTGGGCAATAAATCACCGAAATACGCGCCTACCCGTTTCGCGGATCGCAGACGTGTCATTTATCTGTCAATGTTGCCAGATCGATGCAATTTGAGCCTCTCAAGGCTAGTGAACGGGCTCCCGGTATAGTGTCCTATAATAGTAGGCACTTACTACGTGGGACGTATATTATGGTTTGACAATTTGCTGTCAGTTGTCGCGGATTTTTCGATAATAAGTAAGTACGGCAGCCATAAAAAAGATCTACGAATGAGACGATTTTGATATTATAATTGTGCCGGACTGCCGGATAAGTAGGTACTTGAAATTGCTTTAACTGTAGCTGCTTCATGGCTACCACAGTTTATACCCAACAGCTTCTATCAGAAAAAAATCTATGAATTAGATGTCTGTTAATAATCGTAATGAGAGGCGCACCTTTATTATTTTTAGTGCGGTAGGGCCACTCAGTAGTTCCTGTTCACAGATGGGCAGCCTCGAATAGGGTCAGCCCTGCAGTCTCGGGCTCATAGAATAGGGTTAAGGTATCCCCTGCCTGTCGTAAAAGGCGAATAAAAGAAGTGGTCTTGAGCTGTTGCAAGTTGGTGAGGGAATCGGGGAAGTGTATCCTTCTCCGAGGCGTGCTCATGCACAGTACCGACGGAAACCGGTGCATATGTTTTGACGATTTTCCACCCGATACCAAAAAAAAAAAAAACAACAGGAAAGTACCGCGGCCACGGAAGACTGGCACAAGTGTTATAATTTGCGCTTCGTCTGATGAGAGAGGTTATCGTGGCCCACTTTTGCATAGGTTGGCGACGTGTCTACAGCCGGCTCGGATACTGGAGACCGTTGGTGGCAATCATTTAACAGGTGGACCGCTTGTCAACTGTTTACATTAAAAAGATTATCGTCAGCCTTGACGATAGCAGCTTTGACGGAGACGCTTTTCTCCGCGGCCCAGCCGGAGCAAACACGGCGGGTGAGCAGCGTTACGCAACGGGGCCGTCACGCCCTGGTTGGCGCAGAACTGGCACGCAACCGTGGCGCCTCGGCCGGCGTGCTCGCTAGGAATGTCACGGCACCGGCTCAGATGATACACGCTTCTGAGTTCAGAGAGCTCGAAATACCGTGGCAAAGCCGCGTGCCTTACCACGGCAAATCTGTGTATTAAGTCCTAACAAAATCAATCTATGAGATAAAGTGGCCAAGCAGCAGACTGCATTGCATTTTAGTAGTTTATTTTATTGTAAGCATATGTCAATACACTGTATTACCATTGGAATAAATTAAATTACTTCTGTTAATCGACTTACACTCGAATGAATGGTTCGGGGTTTGCTCAGTAAAGTTAAAGCGGCTTCGTCCTCACAGGAGAACAGCATAGAGTAATAGATATAAAAATAGTAATATTAGTAAATAAATCAGGGCATATTTTCACACAACGTTATCTATTCCCAAACCAAGCGAAGCTGTACTATGAATTGCAGTATTGCTTAGCTTTTATTAGATAAATGATAAACATACTTCTCCTTCACAAATAAAAACGATATAATAGTGGTTGAACTATCTTACATTGAACTTATCTTATACTTATATCTTTAAATAAGTATTTATCAATTAAGTAAGGTACCTTTAACCTTATTTTTTCATAGTGTACTTCGTTATCTTTCATTTTAATAAATTTTCAATAGATCGCATTATCATACATTAATTTTTAGATGAAAGGTTTTTTTTTCCTTAATCTATTCTAGTTGAATTATTTTTCTCAAGGTAAATATATTATTTAAAGTGGCGTTTAAATCATTAAGATTGATGTAGAATTTTCGAAATTATGGCGTTCCGAAAAAAACAGCTTTTAGATATAATATTTAGAGATCGTAGATATGTAAGCACTCAGACTCTAGGAAACATTATTTTAATTTGTTTTATTCAAATGACTGTTTCAATTTGTTTTATAACTATTGACTTGTCAGGAATTTTATCACGTACAAATTTAAATTAAATTTTGAAAATAAAAATTGTCTTGTAGCACTCATGTTCAAAGGCACTAATGTGTTCTTCATCTTTTTACGGTTTTTTTTATGTCAATAGCCTCGCAAATCTTCCTTCTTTTGAAAGAATCTAATGCCTATCCAACCGGAGCCGGTCTATTGTGTGTATTCTCTATTGTGTGTGTGGTTGCAAACTGTAGACTTCTTTAACCGGCAACGCTCCACATCAGCTGTGATCCTTTATGGGGGTTTTATGGCTCTTTCTGTTTCCCTAATAGGGCGGTTATTGCGGGTTTTATACGTCTTTTGTTTGTCCTTACGAAAACGTCTGAACGATAAGACATCTGAGCGATGTTCAGACTTTATTCATAAGGGACATATTTCCTGCTTATTACAGATTAAGTTACTTATCTTTTCGACCGACTTAAAAGTTGAACAGGTTCCCGATTCGATTGTTTTTTTTTATATTGGTCACCTCAGAATTCCGCCATTTGTGAACTGATTTTTCCATTCGGTTCCGTTAAGTTCTCATGCTGTTAAGAATAATTTCATTATTACACCTTGGACTACGGATATACATCAGGGAACTTAATTGCTATTAACCAAACAGTTAGTGAGTCTGGATTCTTGTCTGAAAACACGGATTTCAGAAATTAATGTACCGACTTCCCACCGCAACTTTCAATGATATTATATACAAAGATGTGACACTAACGCACCGGAATTGAGGCGCTCAAATTACACCAAGGGGTGTAGTTAGATTGCAATTCCATAGATTGCTATCTCTTTCCATATTGTTACGTGTTAGGGTTCGCAGGATTTGGAGAGAAAGACCTGCTGACTCTTTTGAAGACATCATCGACACTCTTTGAAGAAGTAACAATATCACTTAACATATCAACAACCATTACGTTCTATATAGTCTGTCACATTCACTTATGTATGTTATGTTATGTGAATCAGAGCAACTTGTTAAACGCCGCGCAAGGCCGACACGCATCATCTATCAAAATCAAAAATATATTTTACTCAAATATACGCTTGCGCGCTCTTATGAATCTTCACATTTTACATCAAAAATTATCTATATAGGTTCGTAAGATACCACCGGTTCGGAAAGCAGTTTCTGTTGAGAAGAGACCGGCAAAGAACTCAACAGTTGCTCTTTTTCAAAAGTATCCGTTTACAATATAACATACATAACATACAGGTATAATAGTCTTATTCTAGCCTACGTGAGTATCACCAGTATTAACTCCACACATTGGCGTCGTCGAGATATTCCGTAATGGTATAATATGCTTTAACCATAAGTTGACTTCTAATTTTACGTTTAAATTGATATGTTATTAAACATCATTGTCAATTCTCGTGCAATATTGAAACAACCCTTCATAAAAATTTTTTTTAAGCCCGATCTCTGCACTCAGAACGAAACTTATTCACGCCGCTGTATTCACCTGCTTCTTCCGGGTTCGCCCAGATGCTCTTACCAAGCTAAAAGACTGATACATTCACATCGCGAAAACCTCGACATTAATCTAATTTTTTTATTAAATTTTGCCATTGGCGCCAAGCGTTGCTAAAAAATTCGACGCCAGAACGCGGCGACGCAAGGTCACACCGACCCATTGCCTCGTGTCGATGTAGAGTCGATTAACAGAAGTAATTTAATTTATTCCAATGGCTATACAGTCCATTAACTATAGAAGGACTATTTTGAACTTATACTTCTTTGGTGCGTTTGAAAAAATTACGAGTAAAATTTTTACAATGCCCGCTCACTGACAGCCACAAAGCGACATGATGAAGTTGTTTGCGACTATCTTGACGGTGTTACCATGGCAACCTCCCTGTAACTCCTAGTTATTTAATTAAACCGTCTTCAATTCCATTTAAAGCGTTTTTCACAAACAAAGAGAGAGTACTGGCGGAGGAGAAAAAGATTTGAGTTACATTTCTTTTGTTACGCTTGGAGTACAACTTCTTACGTGAGTACACACATATTTTTTTCTACACTTGTGAACCAATCTAGCGAGTTTTGTGATTGAGGAAAACTAATATTCTAATATTTGAATGCATCTTGCGCATCGCGTCAGCCATTCACTCAGCCAAGGCCATTTTATGTCATCGATTGATTTGCTTTTTGTATCACACCTACGTCCATTCGTGGGGTAGACTGAGTCGCACGTTCACTTGCTCATTAAATAATTTGCTTGGTAAATTTACTTACTTTTATGTTACAGACGCAGCTATATACAAAAACATTTTTAATAGAATCAACTTTACATGTTGCAACAGTTAAGTTTAAGAAAAAATACTGATTCAGTAAAAACACTTTCAGAAAACATAGCTTCCGAATGCTTTCTTTATCACGAGCTAGTTTTCAATCCAATTTATTCGCTTGATAGCGTAATTTTCTTCCGCCAGAAAAGAATAAGGCTGTCTGTAATGGAATAAGAAATTTTAAAGGAGAAAATCTGTACTATCGGTTGTTTTATTCAATTACATCAAACATGTAAACATGTAGGCCGCGTTAAACTTTAAAACGCCTCTGAAGTTCATTCATATCATGTCCAAGTATCAACACTATTAGATGGTTTTGCCTCTCGTTCGCGCCGCAGTCTAAATCGCTTTCTGTCTCGCTCCCCCTATACGTTGGTACAGTCGCAAACAAATGGTACCTATTCGGTGTAGTGAACATTTTATTTTACGTATTTAGCAGTTCTATTATGGGGGGATATTCATTTGTTTTCTCGTCTGGTTGGGTTTATAAATAAAAATAAAAATAAAGATATAGATATATATTGCATATATAAAATAAATATTATGGATAAAAATAAACATATATATATATATATATATATATATATATAAATAAATATTTTATATAATACATATATAAATAGGACCCAACCAGACGGAAGCCCTCGGCAGGGGAGACCAAACGGCCGAGGGCGAAAGGGAGAGAAACCGGCGGACGATGCGGGCGGTATCGAGGAGCACCGCCTTCTGCATTTGAGCCTGGAGCGATCTGTCCCGGAGTCCCAGTCGCCTCAGATGTTTAGAGAGGCTGACTGGGATCAACCCATTCGCAGACACGACTATCGGGATAATTTCGGTCGGCACACCACCCCACATGTCGGTCACCTCGTGAGCCAGGTCCAGATACTTCGTCTTCTTATCTGTTTCGGCGGCTTTCACGAGGTTCTCGTCATATGGAATGGTAATGTCGACCAAAAATACCCGCGACTGTGCCCGGTCCATCAACACGATATCAGGTTTGTTCGCGACAATTGTCCTGTCCGTGATGATGGACCGGTCCCAATAGAGCCTGGCGCGGTCATTTTCGAGCACGGCCTCCGGAGAGTACTTATAATACGGCAGTTTCCGTTCCACGAGGCCGTATTTCAGAGCGAGCTCCTGGTGTAGGATTCTGGCTACTAGGTTGTGTCTATGCAGATACTCAGAGTTAGAAAGCATGGAACAACCGGAGATAACATGCCGAAGCGACTCCCCGGGATGGCGACAAGCTCGACAGATGTCGACGGTGCCATCCTTTAGGATGTATCTCCTATAGTTGTTCGTCTTAATAACCTGATCCTGTATCGCACAGACAAAACCTTCGGTTTCCCCAAAGAGGTCACCGAAACGTAGCCAGTTCAGGGAGGCAACAGTATCTACGAAAGGCTCGTGTAGAGCCTTGTAGAACCTCCCGTGGAGCTCTTTCTCCTTCCATACAGCCTCTCGGTCGGAAACGCTCAGTACTCCCGGGTCCTGCCATTGCTCGTTGGCTAAGGATAGAGGGGTAAGTCCTTTATCACAACTAATGACGTCCGTGTAGATTGACTCATCTGATCTCGCCAGGAAGTAGTTGCGGAGGCTGCACACCTCGCGATTGTGCATGGTAAGGGCGCTCAAAAAGCCCCTCTCACCATGCTTCCGCGGCAGGTACAGCCTCATCACTGACGATCTCGGATGATGCATTCTGTGGGACGTCATAGTTGTGCGGACTTTTCGGTCCAGGGCATTGAGCTCAGTTTGAGTCCACCTGAGTATGCCAAAGGTATACATGAGGACTGGCATGACCCAGCCGTTAAATGCGCGTGCCTTGTTCACGCCTGACAAATGGCTGTCAAACACCTTTGTCAGGCGTGCAAAAAACACATCACGAACT